CTTCACTGGCTTTTTGAACTGCTGTTGGAATCACCATTGAGTGGTGAAGGAGGATCCTTTGTAGATGCATGGTAAATTTTTTTAAAAACCTATGAGGTGTTTATAAATGGTCTATACTTGTAAAGTCTAGATGAAGTCATTACTTTCTTCTGGAAGGTGTTGTGATCTGGTTCCATACAACATGTGATACTTAATAAGAGTTATTTATTAGTTGGATAAGTAAGTGAGATGTAGGCAACCTGAGCAATTTAAACGCAAATTAGAGTCAGCATTCTTTGCTGTCAGATCTTTTATTGGAATTGTCTTTTGTACTTTTGTGTCTTCATCACATCTTATGTTAAAAAGATACAAAGAGAGAGTAATCATTTTAAGGAAAAACTGCCTTGGTTGGGGCATATGGTGCTGTAGAAAGTTAGACAATAGAAATATGGATAATTTCATTCAAAAGAAGAAGTACTTAATGAGAAAACTTGAATTCTGATGTTTAAATATTACTTGGTGAGTATTCTGAAGTCAGTATTTCTTTCAGTTGTCTAGTAGTGGAGATGAAATGCAAATACAGAAGGAAAAATAAAATCTTCATAAACAGGCTATTTTGAATTGTGGATATTGTAGTATTTATTAGGTGAGAAAATGAAAAAGTTTTAAGTGAAATACAGACATTGTCTGTCCATACTGTCAATATGTAAAGGCAGAAAGGGCCTCCAAAATAACACTACGATGCTTTAATTTTAGTCGACTTTATGTACTACAAGGTGGCCTTGCCCAGCAAGAGTGGAGAGTGCCTGAACTATTGCACAGACTACTGAAGTATTTGGAGCCTAAACTCACCCAGGTTTACAAAAATGTCAGAGAAAGAATAGGAAGGTAGGTACCGTTTTCTCTGTGGTATACCTCTCGAGTGCTTTGTTTTTTAAATTGTAATAGCTAATAATACATGCTGGTTATGTTGTCAGTGGGTTTCATGGTGTCTTTCTCAAATTGTTTGCTATTGTGTCGTGGGAACCAAGATGCAACACTGAATGTAAACTAGGACAGCAGTGTCCTCAGAAGCCAAAGATGAGCAGTCACAACACTTAAGTTTCAATACCTCTTAATTATAAGGCTTCTTTTACACACAGGCATAATCTAAGACCCACTCCAGGAATTGTCTTGGGACAGTTTGCTTTGATTGGGTCATAACTTTTGAACCTCATTTTTATTGGTAATGTGGTACCTCTTCCTATATGAAGTATTTTATTTTGCAGCGTGCTGACCTACATATTCATGATTGATGTTTCTTTGCCAAATACCGCACCAACCACATCGCCTCATGTCCCTGAGTTTACTGCTCGAATTCTGGAGAAATTGAAACCTCTCATGGATGTGGATGAAGAAATTCAGAACCATGTTATGGAAGAAAATGGAATTGGTGAAGAAGATGAACGAACTCAGGGCATTAAACTCTTGAAAACCAGTGAGTGGATAAAATTAGTAGAAACTCATTTGAAAACATTTATTCGATTATCCTGTGGAGTTTTTTCCCACCTCTTTTTTTATTGTGGTAAAATAGACATAATGAAAAATTTACTGTTTTAACCGTTTTTAAGTGTGCAGTTCAGTGGCATTAAGTACATTCACACCCTTGTGCAACCATCACCACCATTTATCTCTGGAATTCTCTTCACCATATGAAACTGAAGCTCTGTACCCTTTAACAACAGCTCCTCATTTTCCCTCCCCACATCCTTTGTAACCACTGTCTACTTTCCATCTCTGAATTTGCCCATTCTAGGTAGGTCATATAAGTTGAATCACAAGTCTTTTTTGTGTCTGGCTTATTTCATGTTACATTGTATTTTCAAGTTGAATGAATGAATTTCTGATTCATGTTGTGTCATTCGTCTGTTTGCTGGATATTTGGGTTGTTTCCACCTTTGGCTATTGTGACCAATGCTGCTCTGAACATTGATGTTTGTGTAAGTACCTGTTTGAGTGCTTGCTTGCAGTTCTTCAGGGTATGTACTAGAAGTGGAATTGTGAGACCATGTAGTATTCCTGTGCTTAAGTTTTTGAAGAGCTGCCAGACTCTTCTCCACAGCAGCTGCACCATTTTACATTCCAGTCAGCAAATGCAGAAGCGTTCCGTGTTTTCACCACTTGTTTTCTGTTTGCTTGCTTTTTTAAAGTATAGCCATCTTAGTGGGTATGAAGAAGTATCTTGTGGTATACTTTTTTAAAGTACAGCCGTCTTAGTGGGTACGAAGAGGTATTTTGGTTTGCATTTCCCTAATGATTACTGATACTTCAGGAATCTTTATAAGCCATTTGTATTTCTTGTTTGGAGAAATATTTACTCATGTCATTCATCACCCACCCCTCTGCTACCTTTCACTTTGTCGTCCAGGCTGCTCACTGCAGCCTCAACCTCCAGGACTCGAGAGATCCTCCCACCTCAGCCTCCTGAGTAGCTGGGACTACAGGTGTGCACCACCATCACACTCAGCTAATTTTTAAATATTTTCTAGAGACAGGGGTCTCCGTATGTTGCTCAGACTGGTCTTGAACTCCTGAGCTCAAGGGATCCTCTTGCCTTGGCCTCCAGAAGTGCTGGAATTACAGGCATGAGCCAGCCACTTTACCCAGCCCATTTCTGAATTAGATTATTTTGTTGTTTTTGAGCTTCGGTTCTTTCTTTATTCTAATATCAATGCCTTATCAGATACACAATTTAGAAATATTTTCTCCTGTGGGTTGTCTTTCTACTCTCTGGATAGTATCTTTTTATGCATAAAAGTTTTAAATTTTATTTTGGGTGCTGTTATACTGCTTCTCAATAAGTGTCTAATTTATGAAGTAACATAGATGATCTCTTTCGTAACATTGAAGAGCGATTGGAGTGGCTGTCTGACACTAACATTATAGTGTTGTTCTACTTTGTGGTCTGTAAATGAATAGCAAAGACTTACTCTGCATCTTTGTTTTCAAAATAGTATTGAAATGGCTGATGGCAAGTGCAGGAAGATCCTTTTCTACAGCAGTCACAGAACAACTTCAGCTTCTACCTTTGTTTTTTAAGGTAAGGTTTTGCTAAATTAAGAATGCATCTCCTTTCTTCAGACAGTGTGTGAATTTTGATTGGAACTCTAAAAAGTAAAATGGTCACAGAAAAATCATTAGGTGATAGTGGTTTAATATTTGTTGAAATCGTGTTTTTAATAGTAGGTGATAGCAAGATTTTGACAGCTACATGAAATTTTAACAGCATATTGTTTTACCTGATAGCTAATTTCTCAGTAATAATAGATTAGAGGGACTATTAATAGTTAAAAGAAAAGCTACAAAGAAATGTTTTAATATAGCCATTTCTGACTTCTTTACTAATATAATCTACAAACGAAAGTGTTCAGTATGTTGTGTTTATTTTACAATGTTAAAGGGCCCTATAACTGTTTTTAACAATATCTGCAGGAAATCATTTGCCTCTGGTATCATATAATGACATTTTGTTAATGAAAGGCATGGTTTGAGTGGTTTTATCTAATCATCTACTCAGGGGATGCAGCTAGTAGAACTAAGGTCACAGGTTGACTCATTAGTTTCCAAAATCATAGTTTGCAATAATGATATGGTTGACTGTGGTTAGGAAAACAGTGTTAATTATACATTTGAAAGGCTTGGCATAGACATCACCACTTTTTGACATTATTCATCAGTACAGTTATTATTATCCAAGGAGGAGAGCCCTTATTATTGTTGATTAACAAATGGCATGCTAAACTTTTGATTTGCTATAGTATACTTTGTCTTTAGGAAATTTCAAACAGATAACTGTACCAGTAACTTTCAAAGATTGAACTACTAAAATATTTTAAGAATGCTATGCAGACGATGATACCCAGGAATATCCCTGGGATCTTTTGGGGTATAAAAGTAGACAGTAGCTGCTAGTGTATAAGTCCTCCTTACCTGTAGGTCTTTGGTGTACATAGGATTAGTCTACCTAGTACTTAAATGTTTTTCCTCTGTCACATACCAAGCAGATATAGAACATTCATAAATTCATAATGTGCAATGATTGTTAGGATAGCTGGGGTTCCATCCCTTTTCTTTCATTCAGAACAAATATAGGCAAGTAAGTAAGAGGGCAGTTGGTAGAAGAATGATTTGAATTCACTTGAAGTTTATGAAAAACTTAGGTCATTAGAAAGCTGTATGATAGAGGCTGTGTGCGGTGGCTCACGCCTGTAATCCCAGCACTTTGGGAGGCCAAGGTGGGCGGATCACAAGGTCAAGAGATCGAGACCATCTTGGCCAACATAGTGAAACCCCATTTCTACTAAAAATACAAAAATTAGCTGGGCATGGCGGCACACACCTCTAGTCCCAGCTACTTGGGAGGCTGAGGCAGGAGACTCGCTTGAACCCGGGAGGTGGAGGTTATAGTATATAGTAAGCTGAGATCGCGCCACTGCACTCCAGCCTGGCAACAGAGCGAGACTCCATCTCAGAAAAAACAAAGAAAGAAAGCTGTGCAATATAAGTTACCATTGACAAGCCTAACATTTCACCTGGATATACTAATATTGAGGTTGAGAATCTCCTAGGCCATCATGATGCATGGGGCCAGAGGTACAAAGGCATCACATCATAGTTATTTTGCCCATAAATCAGATGTGTAGAGGGTGAGGATAAAGAGAGGTGTTTAAAAGAAACCTGTTTACTAAACCATGAGAGGAGCACAGAAGGAGTTGAAGAGGAGGTCAGAAATTCCCTTTCCAACATATTTCAGATGCTTGTAAGACTTGTAAGTCAAGATGCTTTTATAAATGATGATAATGGGTACACATTCAGAGTTCAGTGGAGCAGTGCAGCCTGGTGGTACAAACTTGAATGTCATCACCATAGATGGTATTTAAAACCATGAAATTGAATGAGATCATCAAGGGAATGGGTGTAGATGGGAAAAAAAAAAGTATAAGAATTGAGCCAACATTCACAGGTTAGGGGTGATGAGAACACAACAAATAGAGATGATTTAGTTAGCATATTCCTCATAACTTACTTATATGAACTAAATTAGAACCATTTAAAGGACTAGATTATTATCAACTCTCCAAAGTTTAAAACCCAAATTATCTGATCGTGGGTGGTCAACAACATGCATTTCAGAGGAGAGACCAGCGGATGGCAGCTTATCACCTGGGCCCCCTGCCCTGCCCGCCACTTTTTTTTTTTTTGAGACAGTCTCCCTGCAGTGGTGCAGTCATGGCTCACTGCAGCCTCAATCTCCTGGGCTCAAGCAATCCTCCTGCCTCAGCCTCTCGAGTAGCTGGGACTACAGGTGTACACCAACCATGCCTGGCTAATTTTCTCAAAAATTTTTGTACAGTTGGGGTCTAATGTTATCCAGGTTGGTCTCCAGTGGTCCTCCCACAATAGCCTCCCAAAGTGCTGGGATTACAGATATGAGCCATTGTGCTCGGTCTCCCATTCCTAATTTAATAAAAATTAGTTTCATTACTTTGAAGTTTGTGGAAAATTTCAGTAACAGTGTAAGTTTAATTCTCTCCTTTTAGAAAGAAATAAATGCCTATTGAGAGAAAACTTAGAAAGTTGGAGGGAAATATTCATAAACTACCATTACCATTAACCTTTCTCATATGTATCTTTTTTTCTTAAAATTATTGTGAGTTTATAAATGCAGCACATACTCATAAAAAATCTATAAGATAGATTGACAAGACTAATTGTGTATAACAGCCAATGTTCATAGTTTTATTTATATTATTTCTATTTATATATATTTCTCTTTTTATTTATATTTCCTCAAATGTTATTTTCCTATATAGTTGTTTTTCAGTAGAGTCATGCCAGTAGCTCTACAGCTTCCCTTTTATGAACGTAATCAATATATGTACCTTTCCACGTCAGTAAGTAGATATCTGTATTATTCCTTATGTGGCTTATAGAATTTAATATCCAGTGTGCTCGCTAGTAGTAGATTTTTGGTTTTATCACAGTTGTTCACTAGGTAGACAACAAGAGGCAGTGAGTGGAGTCATTAATAGCATGAAGTTTTGAGCCAGGCTGCCTGGATCAAATTCATCTCCATGGGCCATGAACTCATTATGTAATCATGGGCATCTAATTCAACCCCTCCGAACTTTATCCCTCTCATCAGTAAAATGGGGGTAATAACACCACGCATCCTGAGGATGTTACAAGGATTAAGTGAGTTAATACGTGTTCCTCATTATCCAAATTGAGGAGTGGGTGGCTGAGTCTGATAACAAGGAATTAGGTACATTTTCCATTTCCTGAGTTGCCATTAGCAAATAGCAAGAGTTTAGATTAAAAGATATTGCATCCTAAATTGAGAGAATAAGGGGTGCTTTCATATGCTAAGTGCTTAAAGCAGCATCAGGCACATGGTAAACACTGTAGACATGTTCCTCCTCATTAATGATACAGTGAACATCTTGTATATATCTTTTGCACTTTGCACATATTTTTTATAGGATAAATCACAAGAAGTGAAAATGCTGGATCTACTTCAGCTAACACATTGTTGTAAGAAACATATGGTACATTGGCTGTTCTGTTAAAAATCTTATTTATCCTATCCCATAAAAAGCAGTTTTATATCCATAAAAAACCTTGAAATATATATTTGTTAAATTTATATATATCTATATATAAACTTGCCTATTCGGGTCTAAGAGTCTTCATATTCTTAAGATTAAAGAAAGAGGTTTTCCAACCAATAATAGCTTACAAAGTCCTGGCTTTCGGGTAAATAGAGTCCTAGTTTAAAATCCTGCCTATAGGTTGGGCACAGGTTGTTGGGCACAGTGGCTCACACCTGTAATCCCAGCACTTTGGAAGGCCAAGGCGGGCAGATCACTTGAGATCAGGAGTTTGAGACCAGCATGAACAACATGGTGAAACCCCATCTCTACTAAAAATACAAAAATTAGCCGGGCGTGGTGGCAGACACCTGTAGTCCCAGCTACACAGGAGGCTGATGCAGGAGAATTGCTTGAACCCTGGAGGCGGAGGCTGCAGTGAACCAGATCTGGCCACTGTACTCTAGCCTGGGTGACAGTTTAAAAAAAAAAAAAAAAAAATTCTGCCTGTGACAGGTGCTTTCTTTGTGACCTTGCACAAGCTTCTGAACTTCTCTCCTATATAAAGAGTGGGAGTTTAATATCAGTATCCCTCACAGAATTGTTAGAAGGATGAAATGACATACCTGGAAAGCAGAAAGCACAGTGGTAAAGTACATACTTATATTATTATTTTACTGATCTTTAACTGAATTTTAATTTGGAACAATTAAGGGCTCAAATGGTGGTGGTCAGGAGGGAGGAGAGGTATTTTATCCTAAGTTTCAAACTTCAGAAAATGCTCCTCAAAATCCACCACTATAGTTTTGCATATGTGAAAATTAGAGAAGAATGTACAGATACTGTGGTACATTGGATACAGTCACCTCACATTGATGGTATTTCTTTAGAAAAACTTTTTTTCAATAATCAGGAGAAAAATATAAGGTGATTCCTTTGCTAACTAAATGAACCGCATTTTCTACTGGTTAACATAGTTTAGTGTATAATCTATCTGGTGAAATTTATCTATTGGATTTTAGGATTTTACTCTTTTTAGTAGAACATTTTCACCCATGCTGTACTTGAGAATATTGTGTCTTAATTTCATTAGAAAAACACATTTTTTCCATAATGATAGGAAGAGAGACTGCTGATTCAACAGACGAGTGAGTCATCTTAAATTCTGGTGATAATAGACCTTGCCAGCAAATGAATATCTTCTTTTTTATACCACAGTTAACTACCCAAACTGTAAATCACCTCATATTTAGTGTAAGTGTGAATAAAATGACCAGGAAAAGAACTCCACCTGTAATGCCTAGAGATGTGAACTGTTGAGTATTTACCATTTGTACCCTGACTTTGCTGGTGTATGTCCTTTTATACCTTTGACTATGAATGTGTCTCTGCTATACCCTACAAATGTGTTTGTGAAATTGTTTTATGAATAACAATTACTTAATTCTGC